CTGTGTGTGTGTGTGTGTGTGTGTGTGTTTGTAATTCTGCATAACGCTTCCCTGTCCATGATGAGACTCATGCTCAAACTTGTTTCTGCTGTTTTCTTTCTTCAACAGCGAAGAGCTGATGAAAGACACATCCAATTATACTCTTTAAGAGAGCCTCATACACACACGCACATGCACACACACGCACATGCGCACACACACACATTTTCTCATTCATACCTCTCAATCAGAGAAGTATGCATAAATAAGATGATATTAGAGCTGTAACGATTAATTGATTAATTAACTATAAAACTATTAAATCAATTGCCAGCTATTTTGATAATCAATGAATTTGGAAAATAATCTTTGCAGACATCATTTACAAGCATTACTGCTACAGTCATTTAATTTGTGCATTGGCATTAGAAGCTCTTTATCCTATGATTTTATCAACCGCTGGTTGTGATTTCAAATGACATCTTGATCACAGATCTGATATGACAACACACACATGCATGTAGAAATAAAGGAAGTGAAAAAGTCATAACCCTGTATCCATTTAAAGCTGGCCCCATTGGGACTGTTAAAATGTCACCACTTTGGCAAGTTCTTCTCATCTTTGTAACCTTGTGAGCTTGTTTGCTGTCAGAGATGAAGTGCCCACATATACTCTTACTCTTACACGCGCAAATGCATTTTTTTTTTCACGGTTGTGTAATTTGTAACAAGTCCTCTACAAAATGAAGGACAAAATGTGTAGTTTGTCTAAGCCTTCTAGAGCGATGCTCCAATTGGCAGAACGACATCATTTGTCTACTAAATCACTTCTGGGAAAATAAAGAGTGATTAATAATAATAAGTAATTAAACATTTAGATGTGACAACACTATGGTTAAGGTTTGTTTAGGTTTAGGCAAAAAAACTAATTTATTAGGAATTTTGTTGGCATGATTACAATAGTTAACATAGTTAAGATTATGGAAAAATAGTGGGCATGCTTAAAAACAACGCTGATTTGCAGAGGGAAACTAAGACACGAATAGCTGCCTCTTTTGCTAAAGTCCCCCACTGTGGCCAGTATGGAGAGGAGGAATGATTACAGCAACCAATAATGCTTTTAACCACGTGCATGTGGATATTGTTTTAAGATGTATTTGAAAAAATCCTTTGTAAGTATAAAGCAGAAGTGAGGTTACTGTTGAAGGTGACACTAACCTACACAGTTATGTTCTAAAGTGTTTAGACCTTAATTTCTGTGTCTTATGTGAGAGGGAGTGAGCAGCTAGTGAGCACCGATGTCTGCCTGTGTGCACTTACAAATATAGCTGCTATTTAGTGATACAGTCTGTGTGAGAAAAAAAGCTGATATTGTTTACTTTGGCACTCAACCTAAAGACAGAACATTAGCCACAGTGGCATGAAGGTGCGCTGTTACTGACAAACCTGTGAACATGGAATCAGCTTCATGGACTGTCTTCGCTGTCTTAATTAGAAACTAATAACACCTTCACTTTGTTGCCAAAACAAACCATTTTTCTATGAAAGGGTTGGGCTCAGTGACTGAATCATGCCATCCCACCTCTCGTCTGTGTGCAGTGTCTTGCTTTATGCTGTTTCTGCGTTTTTGCTTTCAAAAATGTCTGTTGTATGAAACAAGAATTTTGATATCCAGTATTTTCTAACTTGGACTGAGAGTTACATAATTCTGAGTTTTGATATAGAAAAGCTTATTCTCTAAAAGATATTTTCATATCAGATAAAATCAGTGTAACAACTGAGAGCACTGAATCTGGATTTCCTACTTATTGGTTTTTACTTCACCGAGTTTCTAGATTACTGGCATTTGGCTTTTTGAAGGCATACATTATTTCCCTCGTAGAAACAAACTTTCATCTCTCTCTTTCCTTGAGTTCATTGTTAAATGCTGTAAAGCCTGACCTAAAAAATAACCCAGTAGTCAAACATGAAAACAACCATAGTTGACAAAGCACCTAGTGCTACAGGCGTGGCCCTCAAATGGGACTCTTACGGCCTTATGTTCCACTCATGGAAATTTGCAAATTTGTGCTCATCCAAACAAGAAGACCCAAGTGGCCAGTGTGAGAAGAGCTACACAGAGTAACACAGTCTAACTTTGTCAGATGTTATTGTCAGTCCTCTTCTGACTTCTTACACTGCTGGTGCACATTAAACCTATATGCACTGGCCAGTGTAATGGGATGGTGCTCATGGTCAGCAGAAGAATCTACTCCTACTTTTACAAGAGTAAGAGGCGAGTTTGAAATTCAAAAAGTGGAGGTTCAGGCCAAAAACAGCCCTTCGTTAACAAAATGCAAAATACTGCTTTGTTTGGGGCTTGTTTTCTGAGGGGGTTGTTTGAAATATGATCCAGGAAGTCCAGTTTGGGCAAGAGATGAGTTTGAAGGCTTATCAGCACTAAAACACTCTACAGCACTTTATACTTCCTTGAGGGGGTTACAACTATTTTATCTTTGTAGTGCCTGTTCGGATGAGGCTGCATTGCATTTGAATAAATCTGTGTTTTTTTGCCAACGGAGTGGCCTCTTTCATGACTTTGTGCTGTGTGAGACACACCTGGCCAATTGCTGCATTAAGCGGATTTGCTCGTCATTTTTGAAAAGTAACAAAAATTCCCCTATATGCCAACGTCATAAAGGAGTGGGTGGAGGGTGTCTCAGACCATCCAACAAGCACTTTGCTGTAAGCATACCAATCCCTTAGCTCTTTAGAGCCCTAAAGGTAAAATCTGTGACAATAAAATTATTATAACAAATAGTAACTCTAGTTCTATCACATTTGGAGATTTTAAGTCAGTAAAAACTGCTCGTATGAGTCTGCTAAGCCCCGCCCACCAAACTCACAAGAAGGAGCCGGTTGCCCATCGAAACCTCATCCCGCATGGGGCTTGCTGTCCATGGGAAGAGTCCCTCTCGCTTTGACTCGTCTTATCAAGGACTCCCCTACAAAACTTCACGGCCCAGGGCAGAGCACCCCAAGCTTCAGAGGCAGCTGTGACAACGTCTACAGTAACAGCCGGATGAGAGGCTGTCCACCCTCAAAAATGATTCCCCATTGTTTGTCATCATGCCTCTTTACCCCTCGTCGATACTAGCACTATGGCTCCGAACACAATGAGCTCTGTGTGAAGCCGGAACATGATCGCATACGTGTTTTGTACTATACGCTGTTGGTGGCAAAGAAGGGATGGGCAGACACTTGGAACTGATTGGTTTTTTGACCCAGAAGTGGTGGATTCTTCAAAATGGCCCCCAGCAAGAAGAGCCAGAAGAATGATTTTAATTTTATTGTTATTATTTTATTTTATATATTTTATGTCTTATGTGTCAGGATTCAGTTTTTTAGAATTCTCTACTGCAGTTTTAAGGAATGAGTAGTAGGCTAATGAGTGTCCATTATGCAGTTTGTGTGCTCAAAATGTCAGGGAAGGTGTCTACTGCTTGGGACAAACTTTAGGTGGGGGAAAATGGATTATAACTCGCACACATATCTAAGGTTAAATCAAGAGCAAATTGACTTGGTTGGAGATACTTAACTGTTATATGTTTCGTCTCTCTTTCAAGAGGCTTCTTCCGTTCTGACTGACTGGCAGGGAGTCCTAGCTATTAAGTCTCTGTGGGGTCGTTATCAAGGTGATGGATACCACTTGGTTCATTAGTGCTCCTGGCTGTTGTGACGACTGTTGTTTTGGTTGTTAGAGTCACCTGAGGCCTGAAGACTGAACGACCGTCATTGGCATTGTCATGAGGCAAGGTGTGAGTGTTTCAATCTCCTGGGAAGTGGTGAAAGGACAGAATCATAGGTGGCGGATAAGTGGTGTCTCACCCCTCCCCAGTTGAAAGATGGTTTCTCTACTCTACTCTGTAAATGGATTATTTCACTCCTCTTTCACATGTATCTCCACCATGGAGGGAGTAAAAACTGTAAGGACACGACTGCTCCAAGACAACACCCTGAACAACAGAACTAACCTCAGTCCAGTCCAGATTTGCAAACTGCTGGACCTCTTCTGAATACCACTATTTCCAGTACAACAGGGGATGCTACAGACAAAAGCATAGCTCAGTGCGGGCTCACCAGTATCTCCAATTGTGGCCAACATCTACCTGAAAGAAGTAGAAGTCAGAGGGGGGTAACTCCGGTGTTGTTGGAGAATCACTAAGCTTGTCTGTTAGAGCTAGAGGCGTCATTTGGTTTTATTTAAGTATTTTTTTATTTGCTTACTGGGATCCTGAAGTGGAGATTTTTGTTGAAACATGGACTTGAAATAAGGATTCACTGGTGGTTGAACTGTGGGTTTTGTATTGAACACTGACTGTGATGAACTTACAAATACCCGTGCGCTACATTTCTTTAAAATTACTAGTGGTTAATGATTGTTAAGGTGCCATGTACTGAAAAACATGGGTCCTTTATAACGGCAAAAAATGCATGTAATGTTTCTTGTGTAGGCCAAATGCATTGAATGACAATATTATTTACATTAAATTATGTATATTATTCAACTATTCGTCTTTTAGCACAAAAATAAAAAGTGGCAGATAAAATTTTTGAGTTGCAGACAAAAACAAATTCAGACCCTGCTTGCGAAGAATGCTGGATCACATATAATGGTTATGTAGCAACACATTTGAGTGTGTTGAGATTTCTCATATATCCTGTAATACGGCTCTGACAAAGAACAAAGAATTAATGTTATAAAATGTAACTGACACCTCTCTCCTTCTCTTTGATGTCTATGGTGATCAACAATAATATCTTAACCCTCCCCACTTAATGATCTCATCACCTCAGTCTCTGCTAATAACAACTTAAAAACTCTATTAATTCTCTTGTGTCCTTATACTATTAACATGGCTGGCATGCAGTCTAAAATACTTTTCCATCTAACATGCAAGACCTTTCTCAATCATCGTAAAGATCAGATAAACCAACTGAACTCAGCAGTGTTTATCACCCCCCTCTCTCTGCTTTCTCAGGTCCATCTTCAGTGATCAGTAACGATGATGACTCAGCCTCTCCTCTTCACCACGTCTCCAACGGCAGCAACACTCCTTCCTCCTCAGAGATGGGCCCTGACGCAGTGATCATTGGTATGACCAAGATCCCAGTGATAGAAAACCCGCAGTACTTCAGGAGCACAAACAGCCTGCTCAAAACTGACACGTGTAAGTATGAATCTTAGCTATGTGTTTATCAATGTTTATCAATCCATTATGTGCTATGCTGCCGAGTATTCAAGTTTACCAGTACTTGTGTGGTACATGTAGGTTACCATGGCGACATCTTTCCTGCTGTCATGGCACTGACCTTGGAGCTGCTGATGATAAGCTGTCAATTCTGAGAGAGAAGTGGGGAATAGAAAGTCCATTAATTGGCAAGGGTGTGTGTGTCACACACACACAAATCCATTTATAAATTTGAGACTTCCATGTGTGATTCATACATGTATATAACCAGAGCTGAAAGGTAGCGGAATATATGTCTGTCAGACCCTACAGGTAGAAGTATTTATTTTTTTCCTGAGGGTGACCTTCCCCAAATATTCTTTATTCAGAGTGCAACATGTGTACACTACAAATTCAACAAAGCAAGCAACATAAGGGCAAAGAGAAAGTGGTCAAGGAAAGCGGAAGGAGAAAAAATTGAAATTGAAGAAAAGAGACACATGTGGAGGACAGAAGGAGACAGAGAGAGAGCGAGAGAGAGCAACAGTCAAATAGACAGACAGAGAGCACACAAGGATATTGACCTGGTCCATCAACATGACATTATGATTATTGGCAAGTAATAAAAGCTTCTCCAGGCTTTGGCCTTGTGTTGCAGTAAATTATGGAAGTGCATGTGTGTGTGTGTGTGTGTGTGTGTGCGTGCGTGCGTGCGTGTGTGTGTGTGTGTATGTGTGCATCCTCAGGCTCTTTCTGCAGGGGGCAAGGTTGAGGAGGTACAATGATTGGGGACTGGGGGATGACCTCTTTAGTCCTGCGATAAAAGATAGACTGGGATTTACAGCCTAAAGACAAGAATGAAAGTGCTGAGGATCAATGAAAGTCAATAATGTACTGCTGTGCATGTGTGTGTGCCTGCGTGTGTGTTTTTAATATATTACAGCCATTACAACTATTACTCTGTGGGCTTCTTTGACTCACAGACAGGCAGCATAAATACTGAAAGCATCTGACCGATTATTTGGCACTCTGCCTTTTCAGACCCGTACAATAGCCTTTGATGGAGACAGTTTGGCAAAGTGGCATCAGGTTGCATGCCAAGAACTGAACTCTTTTTAAACTGTAGCTTTAACTAGCTTCTGGCCTGTAATATTGAATACTGAGGTCATTAATTCAGTTCCCCACACAGAAACCAAAAAAGAAGTCCCTAATTTTTGTTTTAATCATTTCGATGTTTTATTTATTTATTTAGCTGCTGAAGATTATATTTTGAATGCAGCAGTTATTTTGAGGAAATTCTTATGAAAATCAACAACTGCTTTTAAACTGAACTCAGAACTAGAATAACTGTCTCTTTCTAGAAAACTTCCCAGAATGTTTTGGGAAAATTTTGACCCTTAAAGTCCATCCATCCATCGTCAACCGCTTATCCAGGGTACAGGGTCGCGGGGGGCTGGAGCCAATCCCAGCTTACATCGGGCGAAAGGTGGGGTACACCCTGGACAGGTCGCCAGTCCATCGCAGGGCTGACCCATAAAGTAAAGTTTTAATTGGATTTCACATTAACTTCTCAATGCTGTATTTAAATGTTTATTATTTTGTTGGCTTTATAGGAATATTTGTGTTTTTTTAACACTCTTATTTGCTTTCTTGGTGAAAGTTAGATGAGAAAATTGATACCAATCTCATGTCTGCATTGTAAATATAAACTGCCAGCAGCCACTTAGCTTATGTATGTTAGGAGGAAAACACCATCTTGGCTCTGTCCAAAAAACACAATCTGCCAACCAGCACCTCTAAAATTGAATAATTCTTATGCTAGTACTAAAAGCACAGTGTAAAATGACACATTCTGAAGTTATTTGCGAGACTATTTATTTCTGGAGGTTAGCTGTTTGCCTCTGTTTCCAGTCTTTGTGCTAAGCTAAGCTAACTGGCTGCTGGCTCCAGCTAGATATTTAATGTTACCGCACAGACATTAGAGTCCTTTCATCTAATTATGGCATAAAAGCAAATACTAATATTTTCCAAAATGTCAAACTATTAAACTACTAAACATACTTAGAGAGAGAGAGAGAGAGAGAGAGAGACAAAATAGTGGAATTAACTTATAAAGTACATGTGTAAGTTTTCCATTGTAGAATATAAACTTATTCTAGGTCTTAAACGAAAGTGCTAAAACTCTGAGAGAAAGTACAGAGGACTTGACCTTCATGCCCTCAGTGAACTAAGTTTTTCTGTCTTCATTTTTGTTATGTTACACTTGGCTTTGAGTACAGTATCTCTCAATTTTTCCATTATTTCCATCCCTGCAGATTTTGGGGGTTTGTATTTTGTTGTATCTAGGGAATAAAGATTAACATTGCTCTGGAAAATTTTATTCATCAAGTCAACACATGCGTACAGTATTTGAAAACACCTATTTACACAGACACACACACCCCTAAGCTTATGAAAATATTGCTCACAAATAGCTACACCTCCTGATGGAAGTGCATATTGTTGGAATTGGTGGCTGACTAGAAGGAAGTGTAGTGGAAAAGAAAAGGAAAAATTAGAGTCAGATATAAATTGCATGGAGAATTTGCCGGTTTGCAGTCTCTGCTGGTCCTGTTTTCACAGCATCTGTCAAATATTATTGTGCCTTTGACCTTTCACATTGCTTGGTTACAACTACCAAACACACAATTTCCAAGCTGTTTTATGTCAGCACACAGGGTCATGGAAAGATTTTGGGCAGATGAGAGAAGAAGGAAAAGAAGAAGAGGCAGATGGTAAACGGGGAATAATTATGTCCCAAGACATTAATTTCTTTGGTTGTTTAAAAGAAGCTGATTAAGGAGGAGAGGTGTGAGAGGTGGCTCTATAGGGAGATGTGGAGAGATCGGAGGACGGAGGAAAAGGACAGATGGAAAAAGGTGGGAGAGGCGGTGGTTGATGGGAAATATTATTCCTCTTGATGTTAATGTTAAAAGCGCTGTCATGAACAAGTGATGGAAAATGATTGATGGAGCAACAGAATGGGAGAAGAACACGTGCCTTGATGTTAATGTTTAGAGGCTGTTGATTAAAAAGTGAGCAGCTGAGGGGGATGGCAAGAGGGAGAAATAAATGATGGAACAGAGGGATGCTAAATAAGGAAAGTAAGAGCAAGATAATGAGACTGGATGGAGCGATGCTAAATGAGGGAAAATGAGCGAATACGATAAGCGTGGAAAACGGGTACTAATTAAGAAAAACATCAGAGAATAAGAGTGTAAAGTTTGGTAAATGGGGAATGATATTTCTGTAGATCTTAATTAAGGATACTGATTGAGGTGAAGAGGGGTGATGTATAGCACAGCACACAGATACAGTTTAATAATGAAAGCAGGGTGGAAGAAGGAGTATAAAATTTGCAAAGGCAGACAGCTGGAACGCAGAATTCATGAGCGATATAAGGCCATAAAAAATAAAATAACTTAATTTTGAAAGTTCTTCTATGCGCAGCAATTATGGAAGGTTTTTGAATATATGAATGCAACATTAGTTGCGATGATGCTGTTTATCTAACAATAAAGACACATTTTAAGAACCAGCAGGAAAGGCTGTGAGAACAACACCAAATCTTCCTGCCAAAGACAAAAAAAGCAAAAAGCGTTGGTCTGCACACATCAATTTATTTGCTATTCAAGGGTGTTAATTAAGGAGAAGTGGTGCGAGGCATTTTTATGGGTGAATGCTTATTACACAAATGGTGCGGTGAGGTTATTAGCTGGTTAAATGGTGGGTAGTTGTCTTGTGGGGGATGTGGGTTTATTGTGTGCTGCTGCTGCTGCTGCTGCTGCCGCTGCCGCTGGTGCATGGGGAATTGTGAGTGCACTGAGATCTGTGACCTGCTACTGTTGTTTGAAGTTTGAAGTGAAGACAATCAGGAAGAGATATTAGACATAAACACAAACCTGTCTCCTTTAAACATTATGTTTATAAAGTGCTAATTTGCAATAGGAAAAAATAGACATACTTCACTTGAATTATGTTTTTTTTATCAACATAATGAGGAAACGTTTTAATGTACATTAAACGTACATTTGCCAAAGATTTTCAGAAACACGTAGTGCACGTAGTGCAGCACCAACTTGCATGTGTTGCTCCATACTACATAACATGTCTCATTGCTCTGATTGGTTATAGGTCCATCCAATTGTGTCCAGAGGCATTAAGGTCTGTGACTGTTGATAACGCCCCTTGGAAATCAAAAATGTAAATACTCCGTATTGGTATAGCACCTTTCTAGTCTATTCAACCACTCAAAGCACTTTTACACTACATCTGCATTCACACACTGAGCTTAAGTCACACACAGGTGGCTAGTTGCAGCAACAAGGCTTCATTCGGCCCACCTCTTTGGTAAAATGGGCAACGGTATTTTCCCATTTTTGTATTAGCTGGGAACCAGCAGTCAACCACTGCCAAGATGGCATTAGCTAGAGCCAGCACACTGAGCTTCACAGTCGCTCTTCCGAAACCTATGGGTGACTTCACAGAGACCATATTTAATACAGTGTGTGACTAATACTTTCTGTAAGAGTCTGGCAATGTCAGGCTACAGAGAAACTTCAGTATCTACCAATAAAATATGTTCTCTCAGCTTTCTGATCCATTTCAACTTTCAAGTAAAATTTACTTTAGTTTGATTATTATTTACCATCGATAGCTTCAACTATGCAACAGCTATAGCTATCTATGGCTTTCACTTGATATAGACTTCCTACTAGTTAGCTGTTTTTCTATAGCATAGAGTGCAGAAGTGCTGTGATGAGTCCTCCAGCACACAGATCAAGCAAGAGTGCAGTAACTTCAGTGGAGACCAGGTCTTTTTGCTTCAGCAACCAAGGGCACTTCCAGGCTCTTGAAACATTGAGGGCTTAGCCCAGCCCAGAAATCCTTTACGTTTTCACCTGTTTTCTCATTTAATTTCATCCCTGCTGAGTCAACACACATGTAGGCATGACTGAAGTAACCTCTTTAAATGTGCATGTAGCACCTTTTCACCTCAATGAGAAATTACTTAATTTAAAAAAGTCAGTTTTAAACTCCTGAACTTTAATAGCTCCTCTGTTTCAGCAGGTTTTCTGCTCATGTTCAAAACCTACTGCACATTGACAATCTCTCCCACAAATCTGTGTTCTGACGTTTGCAGAATAATATTTTGAGACAAAAGTCTACAATAATACAATCTAATGAGAATGAAGCCATAATATTTTAACAAAATCTGCCTGCTGTGCATTACCCTGGATTATTGTTCTGCTGATTTGGTATAGTAGGCTACCCCCTTTAGACCGTCTGACAGACAGAGCCGTGTGGGACTGTACTCGAGACGGGCGCAGTGCTCTTCAGAGGTAGAAAACCAAAACTGAACACTTGTGATCAGATATAAAGTCTCACCACAAATCCACACAAATGTTCACTTCAGCACTTCTGATAAAGTGCAGCTCAAAGCCGCGTCAGAGGGAATTAAGCATCCTGGCGCAGAAAGACAGTCAAACAGAACAAAGTGTTTGAGCGAGTAGGACAGTGACACAGAGCAACAGGTGTCTGTGTTGCAGTCAGATGTGTCATGTTATTCTCTCGCTGCTCTGCGGCGGACTGTTAACTGTTTGTGCAGCAAATACACTGACTCGTAAAATTTATATCTAAATGTTTGAAATTACCATTCAGTAGTCGCTGAGAAGCCCTGAAGTTGTGAGCAATGCACTCTCTCTAAATGCAGGCATGCTGAGTGACGATGGGGGTCACGTTATGTGAACTTCAAACAAAATGTAGCAATATTATTGCGAGTAGCCTCTGTTCTTTGAAGACCTGCGAGACAGGCTACATCATAAAGATTATTATATATTGTCATAAGCCAGCTCTTAGCCCGTGGCAAAAAGGAGGTGAGACACAACAGGTTTGCACGCCAATAGTATGATTTATTATAAAAGTAAAAGAATCAAATGACCAGCAATAAAAGTATGACTATCAGTTGTGTCAGCAGTGAATGGATGAGTAAGATGTGTATGTTGTCAGGATTAACAACAGAAGAAACAGCAGACAAACCCAGTAGGATGCCAGCCTAGGAGGAGAGAGCCAAAAGACTGATCAGTCCTGGCTAAATAAGCTCTGAAGGTAGAGCTGCACAGGTGATTGCCCAGCCCAATCAGCCTCCCTGCCTGCAGCCTCCTGCAGGAGAAGGAAGCCGGAATGGGGGAGGGGTCATAACAATATTAATAAGGAAAATATTTTTGATGTTGTCGTTGAGTTACATTTGGGGCTACAGTCAAAACATCCGAGGCTAAAGCCCAACAAAAATGACCTGCTGTCAGCAGCTATAACTCGCTGAATTTTTTTGCTCGAGTTCTAAAACTTTTATACAAAGTACCCACATTTGTTTACTACAAATGGCACCAAGTCAATCCTGTACAAGAATATAACAGAACTTGTGAAATAATGTCAAATACATGGTGTTGCTTTGTTACAAACTACTACTCGGGTAAGTTGTAACAATTAGACAAAAGAAGCAAAAAAGGATGCCACACAATATGATATGCTTCAAAAACAGGTAAGTGAAATAAATGACAGCAAACCGCACCCCTGTCAGCCATTGTTTAGCAAGCTAGCTGTTGAAAGTGTGTGTGTGTTATAAATAATATTATAATAATTTTATTTGTAATGCACTTTATATTTAAGCAAATCCCGAAGTCCAACATGATAAAACAGGTAGTGCTAAAAATAAAAACACATAGAGAGCTTGAAAATAAAACCACCATGGATGCGCTGGTGGATAAGGAGGGAGACCTTGTACTCAATCCTGAGTGAGACAGTAAGCCTGTAGAGTGATTTGAGGATGGGGTGATGTGGTCGTGTTTGCGCATCTTCAACAGGATCCTAGCAGCGCTGTTCTGGAGGTACAGCAGCTTCTGAATGCTTTTCTCAGGAATCACGGTGAGGAGCGCATTGCAGTAGTCCAGCCTGGAGGAGACAAAAGCGTTTTTCCGCATTTGTAAGAGTGAGTGTTGGATGGAGTTTGGCGATGTTCCTGAGGTGGAAAAAGGAGGTTTTGCAGAGATGTTTCATGTGAGCCTCAAAAGTCAGATGAGAGTCCATTTTAACACCCAGGTTAGTGGCTGATGTTGAATGTGGAATATCTTGGCCAGAGAAGGTGATGCTGGTAATGTCAGATGACCAAACCTGGTGTGGAGTGCCGGCTAAAGCCTAGACCCCCTAGACGCCTCGGCTCTCCTTCCCTTCCACCTGTGCCACGTGCCTGCGCGGCCCACGCGTGGGTGCGCTGGCCGGAAGGGGGAGCGGGGGTCCTGTCCGGTTGCCACCGGGACCTGGCCCGCCACTCGGAACCTTGACCCAAGCGCGGCAGCGGCGGCTTCGCCCTGGCCGTCCTCCGCGCGCCTCCGGGTACCCAACTCTCCTCCCTTCTCCGGGGGAAGGCGGGGGGTTCAATGTCTCCACACCTGCTCCCTGAGCCTTGAGGGACACCACAGGTGATGGGCCTGCAGTTGGCAAGGACTTCTGGGTCTAAAGTGGGTTTTTTGACAAGTGGCCTGATGACATTGGTTTTCAGTGTTGATGGAACATGGCCAGCCTGGAGGAAGTGGTTAATGACCTTCGTGATGAGGGGACTTGTGGCATGGAGGTTGGATTTTATCAGGACTGTGGGGAAGGGGTCCAGGGCACAGGTGGACGGTTTCATCTTTTTTGATGATGATGTCCTCAACGTCTTGTTATGAGATGACAGAGAAACAGCAGAGAGGTTGGGAAATCCTAGGCTGTGGGTCAGCAGTCGGGACAGGCAGGGCGGAGAAGCTGGATAGCAGAGAGCGGACGGTGTTTTTCTGAAAAAAGAGATGAAATTGCTGCATCTCTGTTCTGTGGCTTATGAATGAGAGTGAGTTTGTGGTTTGAGAATGTCATTTATGGTAGAGAAAAGTTGCTTGAAGTTGCCAGGGCTATTGTTTATAATGTTGGAATAGAACTGTAAACGTGCATCTCTCAAGGACCTTGCATAGGACTTCTGATGTTGGCTTGCCTATGAACAGTGAGTCCTGAGGCCTGTAGAAACTACATTTCTATCTAATATAAGTTATACAATTGTATCTACAATAGTATTCATACTAAACAAAATATAGAATTGGTCAAAAGATTGACTTTCTTACCTCAAAATCTTTTTTTTCTCTATATATTCTGAATGTGCCTGTTTCCAGCCTTGACAACCACCATGCCTGATTGGGGAGGAAGTAGGTAAATACTGAAATGATCTCATAAGTCCTATCTTATCTCTAATTGGTGGAATTGATATTGTTACAACCATACCTGTCTCCCCTACAAAGTACAGGCACTGCGTTTTGGCTTGGTTTTTAGGTTGGTTTTGTAGTTTAAGAAGCTCATGGAAATAACACATTTCTGTGGCATACTATTTTCTATATAGTAAAACAGATGTCAGAAAGTCAGATGTAGGTTGTGTAGTTTCTGTGTCTTGCCTTACTGTACGTGTGCAAAGCTACAGAGGCACACACACACATATTGCATTGTGAGTGTGTCCTCCTCCACCACAATCATACACTGAAAATTAGATGCTTCTGAATATCTGATGTAGACCAGCTGTGTTTGTTTTTCTCTCTCTCTCTCTCTCTCTCTCTCTCTCTGTCTCAGTCTGTACAATATTGGGTTATGGTGGACCTCAGTAGCTTACAGTGTAGATCGATGCAGCTTCTGAGAGTCTAGCTGGGCTTTAATGTGATATTCTGAGTGGACAGCTTTTCTTCAAATGCGCCTCTTAATCACATCACAGATAAATCTAAGCTCTTGGTGTCCTACCTCTTTTTCTGTGTGTGTGTGTGTGTGTGTGTGTGTGTGTGTGTTCAAGAAGTACCCAAGTGCATGTTTTATAGGATAATACATGTTTCCTTACATGCAGACAGTTGCACATCTGGCCCTCAGTCAAACAGACAGAGCTTAGCTAGGTTATCATTAGGGCACCACGCTTTTGTGTAGAATAAAACCTTGTATGATCACCATGGTGTGATGCCAATTCTTCTAAAAAATCATCTGGCATGGAATCACGAGTTACTTAGCAACAGAAAGCAGGTTTGTCGATTCTGATCCAACTGTGGGAGAGCAGAAGGTGGGGAGAGATTACGTACATGAAACAGAGTGAGACATGTTTTTTTATATTTACACTACAGGAAAAACTGGATCACATTAGTGTGAAACAGTGAATTTGCTTATTTGCTGTAGCTTTCATATGATGTATAAATGATGACATAAAATATTTATGCAACACAACAAATATCTTTATACATACACAATTAAATACTGTAATATCCATCTGCTAATTTTACTTGGTGATAAAATAAAACATGCAAAGGGGGAAATATGCCCCCAAGAAGAGGGCTGTGTGGATTGTAAGTGTCTGAGAACCAATTGAAAAAAACTAGAAATGTCATAGATTAACATATTTTCCACTGTTGAAACAGCCAGTAATTCCTAGATAGTTAGCACACTCTGTAGCTATGTTTCTGTTCAGAATGAACGTAAATCTACAATATCAAAGACATCAGGGGTCTCGTTTGTTTGTGACCTTGTGTGAACGCACATGGTGTTTCTAAACCAACATGGCCGCGATTAAAGTGGATTTCTTATCCTGTTCTGTCTCTCCCCTTTCAATAGTCGTCCAGCATATTAAAAGACACAACATTGTACTGAAGAGAGAGCTGGGAGAGGGAGCTTTCGGAAAAGTCTTTCTGGCTGAGTGTTACAACCTCTCACCAGACCAGGAGAAGATACTCGTGGCTGTCAAGGTAAGCTGAAGGTCTTGTTTTTTGTCTTTTTTCTAATGCAAGCTCGTAAGAAAAACATTTCAAGTACAGAAAGGCTTTGTGTAACATTCTTCTGTTCAAATGTTAAAGTCCCAATGAGAATGTACATTAAAGTTAGAATTCAGTTTTAATAAATAATAATATTCCTCACATTGAGAAAGCACTGGTTTGAATCCAGACATGATACAGACTTTGTAAAGCTACTAAGAGGACTTTATAGAATTTTGGAAATATATTACATTGTTGTTGCATTACAACAAGAAAGATAGTCTCAGACCTCCAGAATTAGGTTTAATAGTCCATTTTCTATTGGCCTATTGTCCTTAAAATGTGAGATTATACTGTGAAAGCGGGATTGAAGAAAAACATCTGTGAAAACTTGTGTCAATTAATGATTTGAACAAAACACAAACTTTGTTTTTTCTAGCTATTATAAAACAGTCCAGACATGGAAGGACAGCTCGTCTTTGTAGAAAGAAATAAAATACCTTTCAGTCTGCATTACAAAGAAGGTATTTCAATTTATGAGGAGTCTAGTTTCAAAATGAGATATTTTGAAACCCCCTGCTCCTACAGAATGATCGGTGGCACCAAAATAGAGCCCATAATGTCATTATCAAAGGTGAAGTTATTGCTTTCTCTTCTATATTTTGCAATGAGATCTGATGCCTGAAATACATTTGAAATATTGAACAGTTTACAGCAGATAAGCTCGTGTTCCTGAAACAGATATGCAACATTTTGAAATGAAATCCTTCATACTGAGTCTGTACAGTATTTAGACTCCTAAATGTTAGCCATCTCCTCACCTCCATTTCCTCTGCTATTGTTAGAAAGTTGTTGCTTTCAACGGTTTCTCTTAAGGAGAAAGGGTGGAATTACACTCAAACCGCTGACTTCCGGGGTCAAATTGAATGTTTTTTCCAGGGGGCATCCTCCCATCACATCCATCTCTCCATCAAGGATGCTTTCTCTGCTGGTGCGGTGAAACAGGATCTGATTGGTGAAGAACTTCTCATTAACAATACATGACCTGGGAGAGACCCCCCTCTCCTTCTGTCCTCCTTTACCCCCACTTCGTCTGTCTTCCTCACCTCTAACTCTCACCGGCGGTACTTTTTCTTCTCTCCTCTGCAGTTCCTCATCCCGCTACTTTCCTCTTATCAAATCCTCCACCTTCTTTTCTCTTCCTACACCACCTGTTTCCTTCCAGCTTAGCTGTAAACCGCTCGCTGGTTCCGCTGATGTTTGCTGCCAGCTTAGCTTCAGCTCAGTCTAAGCGCTCTGTAAAATATGCACCTGAAAATCCCAGGAAGCAGAGTGTTTGGTTGTAGAACAACATGCTGTGTGTTGCTGACTGCATGTCATATCTGGTAAAACATTATATAATCAGCACTCAACTTACAAAAATAAATTGTATTTCTCAAACTGCAATAGGCGTGGTTGCATGTAGACGTGACGTAGATTAATCATTTAATCATTAGAGGGACTTCATTGATTTAACTCTCTCAGTTCTTTAGATTTTTTTCAATTAGCTAATACACCACATACTTATAGTACAATCTTCTTGCTCTTCTCGTCCTTGTTTTTTTGTGAACTGGCGTGACTCACCATTTCTCTACAATAGTCTTTTTTCTCCTCCTTGTTGCTGCATCAACAAAGAGAAGATGTAATGAAAGCTGGTGAAAAAAACAATTTTCAAATACATAATGGCATTGTCTTCCCTTCTCCCTAAAGGATCAGTTCGCCCAAATTACAAAACATAACTTAAAGGGACTATTTCTTTGGTAGAAAGTATAGTTCAAATGATAACTGGTCACCGTGGGTCTCTGCATAATTCAGAATAAATCAGTGTTTCTTTTTTAAATGGTATGCTTTAATTAAATGCTGGGAGAACCACAAACAAAATGTCTTTCACATCCATTGTATTGGGATGGGAACAGACAACTCAGAGACAGATTTCTCAAAACTTACATTCAATACGCAGGACAGGTCCTCTTTTTTCTGTGATTTGAGTTTACTGACCCTTTTTAACTTTTGGCAACACAGTCTCAGCACCAGACCACTGTTATAGACAGTGTGAACTGAGAATAAAAATTGAATTAATTCAAGTAATATAAGTGCCATGGTATGCCTTTCAGGATACTGAAATGCCATACTATACCAGTTCTATAAAACCGACACTGGCATTTTGATTATAAAACCTTGCACACTCATTTACATTTTCTTTTGCTGACTTTCTGGAAGTTTGCTTGAAAGGTATGCACCATTTCAATGGAAATATATTAATAATGTCTATGAAGCAGCTCCAGGATTTGTCAGTTTATTGAATCATTACAGCCCTTTTCTCCACTGCAGAAGGTAAAAAGACATTCCATAGAAAGAACATATTTGTATTGTCAGGTGTATTTTTCCTTTAAATACCCCCCATACGTACATCGTTCCTCATGTACATACTGTACTTATGTTGCACTCTGTCATGCATTCCACATGCACATTACAGTAAAATAACCTGCACTCACTAATAGAGCTTAATGGTCCAAGAGTCAGCTATCAATCAGCCATAATACAGGAACAAGTTTTACTGTTACTGTATATTACTGTGTACACTGCCATCGATCACAGACACACTTTAACACATGCAGATACACACAGAAGTATACATGAGCCTATTCATACACACTTACTGTACACTTCCTGCATGCATCAATCATTAACACCTAGCACTTTCAGTAATGTTGCCTTCACACATGTAAATGTGAGTCACTACATTCCCAGGCTAGAGGTCGTTGATTGCTTTTTATTTGCCCAGGGACCTGAATGTGTGCAGACTGTATAACTAACTTTATGGCTTTTAGCCTGGGAATTAATTCAGCATCTAGTGCAGATAGTTCATACGTAGATGTGTACAGACTCTTTGTAACGTTCCTGAATTCAACATTAATATGATTTGCTCAATACAGTGGTAAATACTTGTTACAGTGGTCATTTGATATATTGAGCCCAGTGGCGCACCCATCTGTTTGCCAGGAAAGAAAGAAAGTTTTTTTTTCTTTAATTAAATTGTTTTCCTGGTTTCCTTTTACCAGGAGCACACAGTGGAAGCTACATGTCTGAGTTATGGATTAGGCTTCATCAGTCAAATGTGTGTTAATAGTTCATAAATCATTTACTAATTCTTTACAGATAAGTTATAAACCATTGTAAGAACAAAGTCTGGGTTGCCATCCTCCTGTCTGACACTTGAGACCGGGTATGGTTGTAACATGGGGAGAGTTATAACAACACCAATTCCACCAAATAGAGATAAGATAGGAGTTAGGTGATCATTTCAGTATTTACCTGCTTCCTCCCTCATCGGGCATGGTGGTTATCAAGTCTTGAAAGAGGTACATTCAGAATATATAGAGAAAAAACTGATTTTGATGGTAAGAAAGTAAAGTTTTTGACCAAGACCATTTTTTGTTTAGTATCTGTACTATTGCAGATAGAATTGTTTGACTTATATTAGATTGAAATGTAGTTTCTTAGGCAACACGTGATGCATTTTTACCTTTCTAATGTCAAGCCACTATGGTAATACAGCTAGCTAAACACTGGCTGACAGGGGTGGGGTGGGTTGTAACACTTATTTAAAAAATGGTTACAACCATCCACGATAAGAGTAACATTATTTCCTGTTGCGGGAATCCGATGGTCGAGACACACACACACACACACACACACACCTGCTATTAATCAGAAGGTTAATTTTAATGACAGAGACCCAGCCACATCACTAGAACCCACCTGTGCAGGTACATCTTACTATCAGAATAATGCACCCATTAAATAGCAGTTAAAGTAACTCAAACGTAACGCAAAAGTAGTATTACAATTAAGAGACAGTAATATTGTAATACAACTAATTACTTTCAAATGACAGTAACCCATTCACATGTTGTACACATGTTGGCGTATGTATTGTCACTCGACCTTTTCCATACTCTGTCTCTGCCGGTGGAGAGGGTAGAAATGTGTATGGACAGCTTGTGAGAAGTGCCTGCGCACATGAAAAAGTCCCGGTATGATAAAATATAAAAATAATAAAATATAGAAGTGCTGGTATACGTAGCGGTAAATACCGGCCCACTTCAAGCACTGACTGTGCTCTGAATAACTCTGAATAAGAATATACACACATTGACACACACACACACACACACCTCTTTTTAGTTAGACCTAAGGATGTACAGAGACGTTCTTTAATTAATTACATTTTAGTAGTATTTATTAAGTATACTTTTAAGTAAGTTTATTCTATAGATAAATTTACATACACATACTGGCATACACATACATCGGCTGGACGTGCAGCCTCTCTTTCCTTCTGTTTGTGAGTCTTTAGTGTAGTTAAGTGACTAGTTTAAACAGACTCAGAGGTTTGCGACTCACCAATAAAGGAAAAAGCACTCTGGGAGATCTCAATTCTGTTTATTGATCAAAAGTTACAATAATTTTTCTTGTTTACTTTCAACACATGTAGGTTAGTTTGGGGTAAGACCGCCCCGCCCCCACCCCCAAGCTCAATGTCTACTTGCTGACTCACAAAATATTGTTATATAGAATTTTTTGTATCTTGGAGATGGCCATGCTTAGGGTAACATAATATAAACTAAAATAAATACCTGCAGTTGAGAAATTCATTTGTATTTAATCAAATGTAAATTTTAGGAGAAAGGCATTTTCCCCAGCTAGTGGGATAAGACGCCCTCTCAAGCTTAATGTCTATTTTCTTACACATTAAAGAACATTTTATTGAATTTTTTTGCATCTTTAAGAAGGCTATAAAATAAATAGCTACAGTTGACAAATTTATTTGTATTTAATCAAATGTATTTTTTAGGGAAAAGGCATTTTCCACTGGGGTAAGATGCCTCCCTATGGTGTGAAATCACTTTAATTTAAAGTAAAGTACAAGTAGCTGGTTAAAAACAAGGGAATTATAGACCTATGTTGTAGAAATAAAATTGCCTTGCCTTATGTTACTTTCCTAAAATTTATTTCTCAGACTTTGAAATAGTGAGGTTGCTAACTTCATTAGCAGAAATTCTGAGGTAAAATATGTGCATGCCAGCTAGCTTGCTAGCTAGAAATGTATATGCATATGTGAGCTTATGACCTCAGAATTTTACCTCAGACTTTCTGGTAGTGAAGTTGCTGGTTGGCGAAAGGGGCTATCCAGTGTCTGAATAACATCTAATTTACATAGATCAACCCTAAAGGGGCACGGTGACCGGGGTGGCGTCTTACCCCAAACATACTAATCTAGCATTTTACTACTTTTTTTATGTATTTTTTATATATTATATTTTAAAACTATAAAGATCTTTCACTCTAAACAATTGCATAACTTATCTGAAGGCTCCCCCTAATGTAAATATACATAGGCCTATATATATATATAAATTGAACACAGTAAAAAAAGAATTACAGCTTATTTTAACTGTCCAAAAAATTAGATCAGAATGGCTTTTATCAAATAAAAAAAAATGTTGTGATGAAACAGAGAACATTTGTTCAGTGAGACTAGGGGCAGCCAGAAGAAATGTTGAGAAAAAAAAACTGTGACCTTTTGTGTTTTTTATTAGAATTACCGTGGGGGCGTCTTACCCCATGTTACTCTATCAAAAAATTACCTTAAATTTGTTTCCCAACATCATTTGGTCACTAAACTATTTCACTCCTCCTCTCTCATTCAAATATAAAAAAATCCGCAAGCTGTGGTCTTTCCCCTATAATACTACCCGTGATGATGAACTTATTAGGATGAAGAGGTACAATTTCCCAAAACTTTTTATGTAACAGTTATTTGATAATAATAGGCTACCAATCAACTACTAAGGCTTCAACAGGTGGCATTTAATGCAAGGTATCGAATGTAGTACTCTATTGGTATCTCTATTGGTATATACAAGTAGGGTTGGGTATCATTTAATACCCAACCCTACTTGTATACGGAATTTTTCACAACCTGGCAAACCAAACATTATTCTTATTAATGGCTTTTTACTGACCTATACAGCATCAGTAAATGATTTACAGTATTAACAATTAATTAAGCTATTAATTCTAATTTCTAAACTCTGTCTGTCACAGATGCTTGTGTTACACACCCTTCATGACAGGTTTATTGAAAGGGAGGCAAAAATGAGTTTCAAAAGGAACGGGGAATATGATTGTGACAGAAATGTAAGAGCAGTCACCCCACCCGGATTTGAACCCAGGTCTACAGGGTACCAAACATGCAACTTGACCGCATTGGCGTTGCGGTCAAGTTGCATGTTTGGTACCCGGGTTCAAAACCGGGTGGGGCGACCTTTCCGTCACATGTGGTGGCAGTGGTGGGATGGCTTGCGTGAAATTGTCGGAGGCGTACCCAGTGTGTGATGTGTACGATGGACCCCGAGGGTTGGTGGACCCCTGTGTGACCCAGAGATGGGTGAAGCACTAGTGGGTGGGGGCACCCTGAGATGGAAGTATGGGAGAAGTACAATTGGAGTTGTGACGGACGCCTGTATGCGTGAAGCGCAATGGGGCGTCTCCCAAAAGGGAGGGCAGTGTGACGGACCGTCACTACGGTTGAGTATGCGCTGTGACTGCCATACCAACGTTGGTAGTCCGTCGCAATGATGAACGTAAACAATGCGGTACTGTATAATGTCTTACATTAATTAAGCCATTAATTACAATTTCTAAACCCTTTATAAATGTGGCATCAACCTTTTTATAATCATTATGACACACATCCTCTGGAGTAACAGGGTTCTCTTTTAGAGGAAAGTAAATCCAGTCAGGCAACCCAGATTTCCCATATTTGTCCAATATCACATTTCAAGCTGAGATTAAAGCATAGGCTTTCATACTGTATCCATACTGTAACAATCCACCATAGCATCATCATGTAGTGTCACATTACAGCCTGTAATCTACATGACCTAGTCTCTGTTTCATGATAAATGATTGGTTGAATGTGGGCGGAGTTATAGTCAGTCTCATTTTCTGGTGTCTCTACATTCTAGCTGAAAGGTTGCGGGTCATTTCCTTCTTCTGAGCTTTCTTAGTGACTTCTCTTTGTCCTTTAAACCTATATTTGTAATAGGAGCTTCTATCTGCGATATTGGTATACAGACAGAGAAAAAAACACACACAGACGCAGTGAAAAGCAAACGTATATCCATGTCATATACTGTAGGAAGACAATCAATTATTCATGTAGTACAAGAGGCATTTTTTATATTTTTCTTCTTTTGATGTGAAATGAAATGTATAACTTTAATTTCCTGCAACTCTCTCTCTCTCTCTCTCTCTCTCTCTGTCTTTCACACACACTGTTTTCTGTCTCTGTCACAGATGCTTGTGTTACACAACCTTCCTGACAGGTTTCCTGATTCATGGAAGGGAGGCAAAAACTAGTTTCAAAATGAACCAGGGAATATAATAAATGGAAACAATGCTGTACTGTATAATGTCTTACATTAGTATAAAATGTCTCCATTTTTCCCCCTGCTCCACCATTGTATCAGTCCTTGCTCAGTGCCAGTAATTTCACATTCTGTGTGCCGAGTTGCTGTAACTCACTTTTACAAGGCAAGACAAAATCAGCCAAATAAATTGGAGCAGACTGGGTGCACTGTGAAAATGACTAATTGGCAATAGTGTATGTGGCATAATGTGTGAGTCTTTCATTTGTCAGTTTATTAAAATGTCACTTCTGTGTGTGTGTACAGACACTTAAGGAGGCCAGTGAAAATGCCAGGAAGGATTTCCACCGTGAGGCTGAGCTGCTGACCAACCTTCAGCATGAACACATTGTTACTTTCTATGGAGTCTGTGTGGAGAGCGACCCTCTCATCATGGTGTTTGAGTACATGAAACATGGAGACCTCAACAAGTTCCTCAGGCATGGCTCTTCCCTTTGTTACATCAAAACAGCTATTGAAACATTTGCATTTCTCTAAAATGTTGTCATGAAAACAGAGGGATCGATATGAAAAGATCCAGCGCAATCGTCTAAATGCTCTCTCTTTAAGGGACAGATGTAGTACTGTACATGGTGATACAAGGGTGACTAACAACATTGCACATGAAACACAAATTACAGGAAACAACAAGACTCCAACCACCAATCTCCCTGTTCACATGACAAATTTTCACCTGTTCCTTCACAGGGCTCACGGTCCAGATGCAGTTCTGATGGCAGAGGGCCAGACCACCAGACCTGTGGAGCTGACCCAGTCTCAGATGCTGCACATTGCCCAGCAGATAGCATCTGGCATGGTCTACCTGGCATCACAGCACTTTGTGCACCGCGACCTGGCCACCAGGTTTGCCACTTACTGTGTTATTACCACTCTGCGCTTATTGGCATGGCCATATTATACGGGGGACATTTAAATAAAGAAACACCTGTTAATGAATTGTGTTTCATTTGATCATCCTTGAGATTTCTGTTTGTGCTTTACGTACAAACCAGTCCCATTCATAGTGGCCAGCTTGATGACTGCGTAGTATACAGTCCAACATATGGGAAATAGCAGCTGAAGAGTCAGAAAAGATAGTATAGAAAACTTTGAATGAGTAGATATTCTGCAAAACAGCAGATCTTTGACTGACCGATTGATTGATTTCAACGATGAGTGAATGATTCCCTCATAATGAAGCAACGTAACAAAAATATGCAACGCTCTACCAACTAGAGAGAGAGCATGTAACTGTCTTAAATGATTACTGAAAGCTTCTCTTTTCCATCTCTTGCGGTTGAGAAATGCTCCAACATGCTTGAATTACAATCATGAAATGTTTCCAGAATGAGAGAGGCATGCTGCTCCCTTAAAACAATAAAATAAAAGTGCAGTTTCTTCATTGAAGTCAACTGCATCAAGTCAGCAAATTGGTAACAATGTAGAATACTTCAGGCTGACATCTAAACTTTTATCAGGTATGATATATGTGGAAGAGGTTTAACACCATACAGTGTAACTCAAGCTATGTAAAACATCTTTATTTAAACATCTTGCTGTTATTGCTCTGTACTTAGTTTGTTGTTATGTTTGTTTGTCTAACAGGAACTGCCTGGTGGGTGAGAACCTGCTGGTAAAGATTGGGGACTTTGGCATGTCCAGAGACGTCTACAGCACTGACTACTACAGGGTAGGTGTATGTGTCGATATCTTTTTTGGCCCTTCTTTTAGCCCTCCTCCTCCATGCTGCATGGGTCCCTCGCTGCTCCTCCCCTGCATGGGCATGACTCCGGTAGAGTGACAGTCAGAAGCTTGCTATGGTGGGTTAACTAAACTGAGAGTAGTGCAGGGAAATTAAATATACATGTAGCTACGTGTAGCTCACTGTGATGCTATACTGTATATAATTTAATGGACTCAAGGGGAGGGAGGATAAGCATTTTCTGCCACTGAGAGCAGCACCGGTTGTAAAGTTGTTTTTACAAAAGAGCATATTCACTATTCTTTTATTGAGCCATTCATTGTAAAAGTAGGAACAGGGGCGTAGGTATAGACAGTTTAGACAGTGCAGCCACACTAAGGCCCGTACTGTACAGGGGCCCGAGGATGAGCAGTTACACGGCAAAAAAAAGTATGTTCATCATGCAACAGCAGAAACAAAGCTCAGCTCCTATCACAACATCAGCAATGAAATCATGTGATAAATATACCCTTAAATGTACATATCCCCCTTTGCCATGGTGTCAGTCAGTAGTTTTACCTTACAAAGTATTCCCTCACTAGATCTTAAATGATATGTACTTTGCATGTGAGAAAACTTTAAACAGATATAAGAAGGAAAAATACCTAAAATGGCTTTATAAAAAATACGCAAAGATGATTGCTGGGTAATATGTGTATGGCTGCCCAGTTGTTTCAAGAAGAGACAAAAGAGAAAAGTACAGGAGGAGAGGGTCACAAAGCTCCCAAATGAGATTGTTAAAGATTTTGCTCAATGCAAGGCTCGTCGGATGCCATTCAAATACAGTAGGTGAGTACACGTGCTTTTTCATTTGGTCGGGCTGCCCTGCTCCTATTTAAAAGGCTGTTATCATTTCGGGGACAGGTCACTGCCCAGCACCTGTTGGATTGTGTGTGTGTGCTTGTGGGTGTTAGTCTGTTTGTGCCTTAGCTGGTCTGTTTTCAGGACATGGTGTTGTTTTTAAGTAGACCGCTTTTCTTTCTTATTTAGCATAATCTCTGGCCTCTCTGTCAAAAAGGAATGTGATTGCTGTGATTCGGGAGGTTATTGTACTGAAGGTGCCCAAAAAAGTCTGCGTCTTTTCAGCACTGTGAACACCTCCCCTGCACTCAGCTGTTTGTAGTGATGTTTCAGGATTTTGACAATGACAGCACTGGCCATGCTCTTTATAACTTTCTCTTTGACTTCTGTCCTTCGCAAATATAAAAGTCTAGGTGACACAGTCCGACTCTAAAATCCATCACATGATGGTAGGCGTACGCAACACAAGAACACCAAAAGAACTGTAAACTTTCATATGTGAATGTGGAAAGAAATTGATTTAAGTAGGTTATGTATTTACTGCATCTAATCCGATCAGTTGTCAAACCGTGCACAATAAGGAAACAAGGCACACAAATTTGTCAGTATGGTTCCCTTGTAGACATGAACACAGTGTGTGTGTGTGTGTGTGTGTGTGTGTGTGTGTGTGTGTGTGTGTGTGTGTGTGTGCTTCGTAACTGTGGAGCCCAAGGGCCCGTCATAACAGCCTGCACTGGGATCCGTTTTTACTACCTTACGCTACTGAGTAGGAAAATGCTGTTCACTAGGGGCCTTCCAACCATATGGCTGCATGACAAGCACCAATACATTTTAATACACTCTTCTATTTTTATTTTATATATTAAAATTACAAGAATAATTTCTGAAACTCCCCAAAAGATGCCATATTGATAATATGTGATGTTTTTTCTAACTGCAGTAATATTCAAGGTTTTAAAGTATATTAAACAATATTTATTAATGGCTACATTTAAATCTAATTATTGACTAAAATTATTAACTCAACAGAAAAGAGCAAACAGAAAGGACAATATTTCTGAGATGTGTGTATCCTATTTTCTTGGATATTTTGAAATATTAAATATGAACCTGGAGGAAGTGTCAAGACACAAGTTGAATCTGTAAAATGAAAGTGAAATAAGCCCCCAAAATGTAAAAATATCAAACATTTCTAAAATGTGATACCATGAAACAAACATGGTGATGTTTCTACAAATATAGTAGCACATAGTGTGGCGTAGTCTTCAATTAAATGAACTGATGATTAAGTAAACATAATTTTTTTTTAATCAAACTCCAAACCACAGCACATAAGATTATTTTTTATATATAAATATTATACTTTGAGCCTGATACAATGTGTATTTCTAATGCAGTCTTTAAGGGTTTGCACCAAACAAGTATACAGTACAAACAAACAACAAATCTATTTAGACTCCAGGAAGTGTAGGACAATGGGATGTAACACACACACATACCTGCACCCACCTTACAGGTGACGTAGAAAGAGCGTCTCTGCAAAAAGAAAAGGGAGAGCAAATGCGGCTGCATTTATTAAAAAGATGCATATGTGGGTATACATTTTGTGTGTGCTTAGAAGAATGTTTGTATGTGTGTGTGCATTACAAGGACATTTAGCAGTGTGAGTGTTAAGATAACTCAGGGGTACAAGTACAGTTGAGTGTGTGTGTGTGTGTGTGTGTGTGTGTTTTCCCCTCCTGTACAGCAATCTGTCACCTTTCCAACAGGCACAAATCTAATAAATCATACTGATTGATTGATAGTGACTGTCCATTTTTCCTGCCCCTTACTCCCAACCAGTGTGACAAACTGACATGAGTGACAGTGACAGAGAACTTGGAGGAGGAGGGAGCAAGAGAGAAATAGGGACAGAGGGAAAGGGCAGCCATAAAACGAAAAGAAAAATCTCTATTTTGGACAAATAATAGCCTTAACAATAACATTCAGAAAGATAACAATGATCTATAGGCCATTTGATGGATTTATAATTCAGTAATGGCATTAATTGATGCATTTTATTTTTTTGTTCAATGTAGTTGAAGAAATTCATTGTAAATCATTTTTAGTTTGTTAGGAAACTCTGTTTCAGATTATAGCTTGTATATGTCATGTCATATGTCAAATTTTCCATTTTATAAATACAAATACTGGAATATTTAAACAAATTATAGTTCATAGAAATTCTTAACATAACAGTGGCATGGAAAATTCCAGGTATATTTTTCCTTTTTCTCATGATTAGAAATAAACTTTACCTATTGTAAATATTCCAGTTGGCTACTATTTTACTGTGAATCATATTTTGCTTAGTTCCTCCACATTTTAAAAACCTTTCACAACCCTAAAGCTTAGCACAATGTCAAAAAAAGGTCAAAAATACAAGATCCACATGGCCAGAATCAATCAATATTTACTAAGCACATGGAAAATCGACTTTTCATTTGTCTTTTTCTGAACACTGTTGAGATTAAATTTGGCAAAACTAGTTGTTCACTGCATCAAATTAAAGATGTAAAAAAGATTAAGGCCTCTCCTCTGTGGCTTTCTTTTGTACTATCTCTGTGTGACGACACACAGCAACCTCCCCCCCACCACCTCCTTCTCCCCCCACTCCTCAATAAAGCTAAGCGCTGAGGCTGTAGTCATGGCAACAGGCGAAGGCAGTGGCGGTGAGCCTCAGAGTTGTATCCAACGTTTCTCAGGAAGAAAAGTAATCAGAGAACTTCTGTTTAGTATGCTGAGGCAGTACTAGAGAAAGAGAGGGGAGAAGGAGAGAGATGGAAGTGTGGGAGACAGAGGCAGGAAAGTGGGAAAGAGATGAAAAGGGAGAGAGAGAGAAGGGGGAAAATGGGTGGGAGGCCAGAGAGGTAGAAAACAAGACACAAATAAATATACTAAAAGGAGAAAAGGCTAGAGCTGTAAAGGAACATACACATGCCAAGGTGGGAGAGGAGAGGCAGCCTGTGTACAGTGTTACAGGCTAGTCAACAACAAACAAACTGACACTACTGTAAGCTTTAGACAACTAGGAAATCAGAGACCGAGAAAAACTGCAAGAAATGACAGAAAAGCACAGAGAGGTAGACGGACATCAGAAGAGAAGTGCAGCATGGTGGGAGGTAAAAGCCATATTTCAGCATCCAGGAGAGAGAGAGAGGTGTGTCTGTGGTGAGGGGGTGTAGGGACCCATCATGCTGTTGCGTCAGACAGGAGCAAAGATGAGTCATAAAGGAATTGGAGCCCCCCCCCACCCTCCGTGCTTGTGTGTGTGTGTGGTATATAAGCAAAGGCGTAGGACTGAAGGGGCTGTGGTGACGTCATTGAATCCCCTCTTACCCCTCTTACACAAGAACCTGACAGAAGACGACATACAGGATGCTTCTTTGATTCAAACCTTGCAGCCTTTTTTCAGTGTGTGTGTGTGTGTGTGTGTGTGTGTGTGTGGTTGGGGACGGACTTGCAGTTGGAGTTGGGCAGGGTGAATGCACATATACAGCACACATCCCTAAACTGATTTCATCATGTCCAAATGTGTAGGATGAAAGAGAATTAAATGTGTGTTTGGGTTTTGAGGTTTGAGCCTGACTGTTTTACGCTGCTGCCAAAGACTGTAGGAAAAAAAATGGCTACAAAGCAGAGCTAAACAATTTCTGCAGAGTAGTTTGGCATGTGTGTAGTTGTTTTTTCTTTTCACAACCCATCACTGGGTCCTGACCAACACAGACAAACAGCATGAGGCTGGAGTGGAGCAGTTATCTGTGCAGGAGTGAGCGTGCATGTGGGCAGACACTGTTATCTGTGTGACAAGATACACATCAACACAAAGATGATGTTGTGATACACATATGAAAATATATCATATGGAGGACCATTTATCTTTGCATGCATTTGAGAAAAAAAAAATCTTCAAAATCTAAATGTCGCTATATAATTCTGTTTACCTTTTACATTATTATTAATTTAATATAAATCAAAACCACATATCAAAATAACATAAAGAAACCCATAAACCTACCATACCATAAAGATATACCCGTATTAGTGGAAGTGGAAGAAAAAAACAAGCACACAAACCAAATGTTGAAGCACATGAATTCATCCTGTTTTTGCAC